ATTTTAATTTTCTCATATAACTGTAAATATGATCACAAATGTGTTCATATCTATGACGTTAACACTCATTTTCTCTACATCCCTCTCAAGCTTTGTTGGAAGGATTAACCATTAACATGGAACGACTTTCAACAACTGGTATTTTGTATCTTGCTCTAGGTCTATTGTGAAGGGTGGGCAATTATAGTAGGGTCAACATTAAGAGAACCCAGGAGTTCATAAGGACAATAATTACATGTGTACATTTCAGTAAAGTTGGGCCCATAGAGAAAAGGCACATCTCCCTACTTTCACTTAATTTTAAATGTTAGGCCCCAGAAATCTCTTAATAATCTCTAATTAAAAATTTTCAAAATTAAGATTTCAACTTAAATAGGTCCTGACTCATATAAAGAAAATAAAATTAGAAAACTCATAGCTAAAAATGAATTTTAGCTAATTCATTTACAGGCAAATAGAAACATACATTCATCACACAGCTATCTTTAGCCACCTGTAATTATTTCTTGGTAATCAAGCAAAGACCCGTTAAAAATATTTTTATAATATACTACATTGAAAGCATACACATAGGTTTAAATCTGAATCCAGGAGAAACAAGTATCAAATAAACCAAGTCCATTTGATTTATATTTTGCTCTAAAACATAATTGCTTATAACGCCCCAAATGGATGACCAACTACTGAATTAATGTGTGCATTCACTTTCACAAATTTCTTTGAATTTTCTAAGTACTAAATTTCACAATAGAAAGCTGGAATCTTCAAAAACACATATGTCTGTAATTGACTAGCAGATGTCCTTAATTAAACAATGTGCTTTAAGATAGAAATTGTAAACAAAAGTCTAATCTGGGGGTGTCTGGCTGACTCAGTCAGTAGAGCATGAAACTTGTTGGTTTCAGGGTTGTGAGTTTGAGCCTCATGTTAGGTATAGAGATTACTTAAAAATAAAACCTTAAAAAAAGTCTAATCTGTTAAAATGACAAATGCTTTATCAGAGCAGATAGTACCAGGTCTTTAAATGTGATTTATGTGTTTGAACATATACTTAGTATGTATGTGTGGGTGGGGGGGGGTATATTAAGAAAGGCCATCAAATAGATAGAGTCAATATGAGACTTGATTTGATGTTTCATATGTGTTTATTCAGATGACCAGAACAAAAGGAAGGATTGAGAATTAAAACCCAGTTAAAATTCTTTGAATAATTAGCATATGGTCACTCAGACTTCAAACTAGTGATCCTGCAGGCCTCATTAGATTTAAGATGTGTACATGTTCCTACTACTGATGGCAATGCAAACCCAAAAAGGTGATATATTAAAAGTCACAAGAATTTCTTGTTTATGGGCGCCTGGGTGGCTCAGTCCTTAAGCGTCTGCCTTCGGCTCAGGTCATGATCTCAGAGTCCTGGGATCAAGCCCCGCATCGGGCTCCCCGCTCCACGGGAAGCCTGCTTCTCCCTCTCCCACTCCCTCTGCATGTGTTCCCTCTCTCGCTGTATCTTTGTCAAATAAATAAATAAAATCTTAAAAAAAAAAGCTTTAAAAAAAAGAATTTCTTGTTTATTGCAAGAGGTGCCACTTGAGATTGTGATATCTAACAACACCAATAAAGGACAAAACTAGAGACTGTTCATTTTCATAAAGCACAATGAACATTTATCAAAGACATGTAGTACTGTTACTTATTTCACCTAATGGACTTTATTCATACTTTATTCTCAATCATATTCCTTACTTTTACTTGGTGTTATTCAGAAACACCAATATCCTCTTCATTTGTCCAACCAGAAAGAATAAAAATACCCATGTATTGCTTTCTCTCACCCTCTCCCTAAAATGCCAAGTTTAAAGAGCTGCACAATCTCTATTCCATGGAAATGTTCCTGTTAGAACTACCACTTCTAAAAAAGAAAAGAAAGGAAAAAAGAACTACCACTTCTAAAAATCAAGTAAGCAAAATGGAAACATTGTATTTCATTCTGACAAAACTGTTCAATGTGAAATGAATGCACATAAAGTTAAAAAGTTAAATATGCCTCAATTATTATAAGAAATCAGAACACATCTCAACCAGTATCAGAATTTTCACCTTCACTGTATCTTTGCTATTTTTAAATATAAAACATTGGGTACAATGTCAGGTGATCTATAAGTAATATTTTTAAAGCAAAATTGCCTTGAACATACTCCTGTACAATACTCATGGTAAATCCCCAACTGCTTTAAGAAGAGACTACCCTATCATCAAAAAAGCAATACTGAAAAAAAAGACCCCAAAACAAAAACAAACAAAAATAAAACAAAACAAAAAACCAATACTGCAGCCTATGAATTCCTACTAGTACCTTGTGTCAGGAGGACTACATTTCCAGATACTTTGGCAAATTCTCATATGCATGTAGTACCACACTTCTCATATATATTTGAAGCAGTAAGAAAGCCTATAAATTATTCAAGTGATTCAGTTTGCAGATCAATTTATAGCCCCCAAATATTTTAAGCTGACAGATCTGCTCTTTATATTAAAAGAGAGAGCTTTTCGCTTGTGAAAGACCACACGAAAGTATTCACTAATAAATGTCATGTTCCAGTTTACTTTCAGGTAGGAAGATTAAGAAATGCCAGCCATCTGAGGCTCTAAAATCATTTCTTCAATTCTGCAGTGACTTGTTAAAGAGCAAGTTAAAGATTTGCAGAGAGGGGCAAATTCAAGCAGTGAATGAACCAAAAAGGGACAGGAGAGTCAGGTTTCAAAACCATCCCTTCTACTAGTCCTCAATTCCCATTCATAAAAGACTAAATGAAACAGAAAAAAAAAAAAGGAGGCAGAATTCAACTTCGTTTCGTAGGCTCATTAGCATAACTGGATGACTTCAAAGCCCATAATTAGCTGCATGCTAATCACTCAGCTAACAAGTTTTTATTAAGTATTTACTAGTTTTCCCACACTGTGCTAGGGTCTGCATATCTGAAGCAGCATCCGGTTCCACTAGGCACTCTGGAATCCAGAATTAATCTACACCAGCAGCACTGTACCTCTTTTGCAAAAGCTTTCTTTTCTTCCTCCCCAAACCTGATCTCAGACACAGTGCTTCTACTTAAGCAAGCAGCTTAAGCCCTGGAATGGGATGAACATCACACAGAGAATTAAAAGCATTTATTTAAATAAGCAGGAGCAGCCAGAGAAAATTCTCAGTGGAGTTGAAGGTGGTCAGGGGCATAAGGAATCCTGGCTTGTGGCAAACAGTGCAGAGAAATGCACATTTCTCACGTTCAAAGCCTGCCTTAAGCTATGAAGAATCTCCAAATCTATCCATCTGTGAAGTCACTCAAACAGGATTTCAATATTAAGTTTCTAATTCTGCGGGAGAGGAGGAGTTTATAGAGATGGGGGAAAGGAAAAATTAGTAATGCAATGCAAAAGTCAAGATGAGGAAAAGGAAAGGATGGGTGAAGGCAAGGAAAATGATCTGAGAAAGTGAAAAGTCCAAAATATGTCACCAAATAGGTTGACCTTACTTTTCACTACTCTGAAACAAGCTGGTTTCTTTAACACTAGAGGGCATGAACACAAGGAATAGCGCGCGCACACACATGCACACGCACGCGCGCACACACACACACACACACACACACGGGGACGGTAGGGAAGCAACCCTGAGCAAAGGCAGCCTTCATATAAAACTAAAGATCTGAGGGTCCAAAGAAAACCCGAAATTTCAGGGGTCTAGGGCATCCAAGTGTCTTTCCCCTGCAAATAAAATCTCTACGCTCTGTTCCTGGGAACAGTGACCACGACCTCTCGCAAGGAAACCGCTCAAGGATTGAGTGTTATGGCAGTTTAAAGCAAATAGTCTCCAATGCTCCTCTCCTCCGCTAGCAACACCTTTGCCTCACGAAAGCTCCCACCCTTTCGAGGTTAGTTTTCCCTGGACCCAAAAGCTTCATCCATCTCTCCCCTGGGGCTACCTGTAAAAGCTGGAGATGTAGACTATCTACCAGGAAATTCAACTGATCGTAGTCAAATAACGGAGTGAGGGAAGGGGCGCCCGCAGCTTTTGCTGCCAGCAGCCTCAGTGCGCTCAGGTTCGAGGCCGCGCAGAGCCGGGAGACTGGCCCTTGCGCCCCTCATTCAGCCCCTCGACTCCAGGAGAGCCCACACAAGGGCATCCCCGCACACTCTCTGGCTCTGAGCAGGGAGATCTCTGTACCTGGAGATGCCCAGAAGGTGGGCCGGGGCGTGCTCCACTGGCCAAAGCGCCTGGGGATCTGGAGGACAGGAGAGGCGAGAAAGGGAGACAGAGGCAGCTAGAGGCAGACAGAAAATACGGCAAGAAGGAGAGACAAGCGTTAAGAGACAGAGTAACAGGAAGAGACATCCCAAGAAAGACAAGGAAGAAAAGGACGGGAAAGAAACAGACCTGGAAGGCGCAGGGGGAGCCAGAGTCAGAGAGAAAGTCAGAGAAAGAAACTGAGTCAGAGACAGAGACGCACGGAGAGAATGAGAGGCCGAGGGGCACTGGTAGAGAAAGAAAGGAAGGCAATCGTCGAAGAAGACACCCAAGCTCCAGAGCGTCCGCGGTGTCAAGCCGAGAAGCGTCCGCGCACAGCAAGCGCCAGCCACCCGCAGCTGGTGGGAGAAAGTTGCCCCGCCGCCGAGCGCCACCAAGGCGCAGAGGGTGGCCAGCGCCCCGGAGCTCAGCCGAGTAGCGGAAAAAGCAAGGTAGAGGGCGGACGGCGGCAGAAAGTTCCGCGCCTCGCGATCCTCCCTCCGCACCTGCAGCAGCAGGCGAACGCGCTCAAAGCGCCCAGGGGGCCGTCTCGCCGGGTCCGCAGGCGCCCCGGCCCGCCGTCCGGCCCCGGGAGCTCGACTCCGCGCCCTACACTCGCGGCAGGACTTTGCGGCACCCACCCGGGCACCCTGGCCACCCGGAGAGGACTCGCCCCAGACAATTACGAGAAAGAGAAGGGGAGCAAGAGAGAGACGGAGACCTGCTATCGTGGCAAAGGATCCCGCGAAGAGGGAACGGCAGTCCACACACGGGATTCAGCTTCCGACCAGCCCAGCAGGCGCCGGTCGGCCGCGCCGAGAGTGCCGGGTGCGCCGAGCCCGCGCTCACCTGGAACCCGCGCCGGCCCGCGAACGCCGCTCGCAGCCCCGGCTCCCGCCCGCGCCTCTCTCTCTTCACACTTCCCCCCGAGCGGAGCAAGCTGGCTCCGGCCTGGGCCAGCCCCGGAGAGGCGCCCTCATAGCGCAGCGGCGGGCTAGAGGGCTCCGCGAGCGCCGCGAGAGCGGGCGCCGAGGCCGAGGAGGCGCAGGAGACCGAACGAGGGCTCCTAGCACATTGTCACCTCGGCAGAGCCGGCTATGCCGCCGCCGCTGCCGCCTGGTCACTTCGCCCCCGGCCCCCGCCCCCCTCCCACCCCAACCCTCTCCTTCCCAGCCCCTCCTCCTCGCACGGTCCCTCCCCCTCCCGTAGCCCCAGCCTAGAGGCCTCTCACTGGGCTAGTATCATTTACGTAACCAGCACCCCCAGCCCTCCTCCCTCCCCGCTCCCGCTCCTCCCCGGGCTGGGGCGGTGTGCACCGAGCGCGCTCCAGCTGCTCCTAGAGCTGCCGCTCCAGCGATGTGCACAAGTCCCGCGATACTTGGCAGGCACGGCCCCCAAGAGCAACTGTGGGGTCGGCTCCTCTCCCCTACAGAGCGCTTCGTGACCCCTGGCCATCCAGGTTTCCCATGGTGCAAAAGCCGGCTTGTATCCACGGTGTTAGTCCGGTGCACCAGCGAGCCTCTTATAGGGATGCTGGAGGGTCGGGGATTGCCCTCGGGGAAAAGCTGGGGCAACCCCACCCCCGTCGTAGTCTCTCCAGGGGAGAAATGATGCGGGGACTTAAGGTTTCAGAACCTTGAAGCAGAAAGGACAGACAAGAGTTTGGCCCCTTGTCCATTACAGTTCTTACACCCTGACAGGATCCTAGTGTTCTGGTTGGCGACAGCTGCTGCCAGCTTACACACTGTAAGAGAACTGGGAATGCAAAACGCTTCCTTGTGCTCTTAAATTTTCTAGGGAGAAGTAAAGACAAAAAGTGGGGCTTTGAATTCCTTTCTCAGTCAACAAGGTATGGTCTTTCACACACACACACACACACACACACACACACACACACATACACACGCACCCACCCTGAAGTGCCTGAATGCTTGCATTTCAAAGTAAAGTTAATGTGAAGTCATTTCTAAGTTAATGTATGGTGTAGCAGAAAGTCTCTGGTACTAAATGAATTAAACTGTATGTAAGGATCTTAGAACAATGCCTGGCACAAGACACAGACTTAAGACTCAGATAATATTACCATCTGAAGACTTGGGACCTATCCCCCACTGCCACGTGGGAAGTACTCTTCTAGGAAATTGGGATTACTGAGTTCAAATCCCTGCTTTGCCATTTATTCACTGTTGCCTTTCTTTGGTCTCAGTTTTACTTGTGAGAGTAAAATTGCGGTCATTTTCTCCTCTCCCAGGGTCACTTCACCTGTCTTAGCTCCCTTTTCTAAGTTTATTTGGCAAAACTGGGGGAAGATATAGTAGCTACTTCAAAAATATGAAGAGCCATGTTGTACACACACATTATTTTTATCTAGAATGTCAATGACATTCTTGACTATACTCAAAAGGAAATTTCTAGAACTGTTGTCTTTATATCTTTCATCAATCAATTATCTAAATGGGTATGATAACTATACTTAATATCTTCTCTTACATTGTCCATCCTGCCACCCCTTCCAACTCTCAGTAATGGAGCATCTATCAGAGGTATTCTGTGTATGTGTGAGGACACAGGATGCCACTCATAATACCAGGGACACTCTGGAATTTCTCTCTATTGCTCCCTCATGTGAGTTCCAGTTCTACCATCAGGCTACCCACCTCTGCATGGCAAATGCTATGGGCCAGCAAATAAAAGATTGGGGTTCTAATGCTGACATAGCCACTTACCAGACATATGGCCTTTGAAGCCATATAATCTCCCATCCTTACATTCATCATCTCTTAAAAAAGTAGCAATGCTATTTTGCAAGTTTTGTGCTAATATTTAACTAAATCAAGAGTCATAATTCTAGTGGGTAAAGATTGTATGTTGAACAAGGTATTTCTGTAGTCCCAAAGTATCCTCTGGGTATTCTTTTTTTTTTTTTTAAGATTTTATTTGTTTGTTTGATGGGGGGCAGGGAGAGAGAGAGAGCATGCACCAGTGAAGGGGCAGAGGGAATCTCCAGCAGACTCTGCGCTGAGCACAGAGCCCGATGCAGGGCTTGATCTCAGGACCCTGAGATCATAACCTGAGCAGAAACCAAGAGTCCAATGCTTAACCACCTGAACTACCCAGGCGCCCCTCTCCCTGGAAATTCTTAGCTTTTGCTTTATAACAAACCATTCCCAAACTTTACAGCATAAAATAATAAAACATCTATAATTTCTCAAAGTTCTATGGGTTGTCTGGGTAATTATCTCCTCTGGATGGCTTAGTTTGGGCTGAATAGTCTAGGATGGCCTCACTTGTCTGCTGGTTGTCAAGTTGATTGGGGGCAGGGCTCGGCTGGAATGGTCCATCTTTGTTCAACCTGCTGTCACCCTTCAGTAGGTTAGCCATGTTTTCTTGAGTAATGGTACTTTCAGGGTTCCAAAAAGCAATAATGGAGTACAGGCTCCAAGGTAGAACACTTCTCAAGATTATGCTGACACAAATTTGTCAATGTCCCATTAGCCCAAGAAGATTACATGGACAAGCCCAGATTCAAATGATGGAGTAATGTATTCCATGCCTTGATGGGAAAAACTGCAAAGTCATATGGAAAAGAAGAATGCATACACAAATGGGAAGCACTTGAAGCCATTTTTGTAATCTGCCATAGATTCTTAATTACCAGGGAATAAAAAAATAAATCCAGACATTATCTTAACCAAGTGATCAAGGTTAAAATCAATAATGGTTCCAGGTGACATCATGACCCTCATGATGTGATGCATGAAAAAGTACACAATGTAATTTGTTTAGTATAAGACCAAAAAAAGCATAATTGATTGTAACCATGAAAAAAAGCAAAAGACAAATCCAAATTGAGGAAAATTCCATAAAATATCTTGTCTGTACTTTTCAAAAATATCATTCTGATGAAAGTTAAAGAAAGGCTAGAGAACTATTCCAGACTACAGGAGATTAAAGAGACATGACTCCTAAATGCAATGTGTAATCCAGAATTAGTTATTGGACTGGAAAAAAAATACATTATTGGGACAATTGGGAAAATATGAATGAAGTCCATGATATCTAATCTATAGACCTTTTATTTATATTAAATTACAATTAATTTTACATCAATATTAAATGTCCTAATTTTTATAATTTTACTATAGTTACTGTAATAAAATATTTTGGGGTAAAAGGGGCATAGTGGCTGTATTTTATTCACAATCATTCAGAAATAGCTACAGAGAAAATGATGAAGGATACGTGATCAAATTTTAACAGTTGGTAAATTTGCATGAGGAGTACCAGGGAATTTTTTTGTAGTAATTTTGCAACATTTTTAAAGTTTGACTTTATTTTATTTAAAAAATGAGAGGAGAAACAATCTTTGCTTACCTTACAAGAAGAATAAATGCAATAATTTATGTGACTGAGTGTTGAAAGTAAAAAAAATTTATATTGCACTTTTTTCAAATAGAAAGCTAGGAATTTATCTTTAATCAGTAAAGACTTATTGAAAGTATTTGTTTAGATAAATGGGATGACCAACATTTTACAAGTAATTGTCTATAAAGCATAAAGTGATTTAGATGGAGAATATATTAAAGACAGAAATTCAGCAGGTACACTTGACCAACCTGTGATTAGCCAAGGCCCAAAAGGAAAACAAAGGGTGATGTTATCTAGAGAGATAGAAGAAAGAAAGAAGAAAGAAAGAAAGAAAGAAAGAAAGAAAGAAAGAGAAAGAAAAAGAAAGAGAGAGAGAAAGAAAGAAAGAGAAAGAAAGAGAGAAAGGAAGGAAGGAAGGAAGGGAGGAAGGGAGGGAGGGAGGGAGGAAGGAAGGAAGGAAGGAAGGAAGGAAGGAAGGAAGGAAGGAAGGAAGGAAGGGAGAGAGAATAGGAGAGCGAGATTGCTGAAGTTAAATTGTCAGGTCTTGAAAAATTATTAGCAATGAAGGAGAAGGATAAAAGTGTTACATTACTGTGAGATTTTAAAATTGGGTGAGTAGAAGAATGGAGATGCCATTATTAGGAGATACAGAGAGCAAGAACTGTTTTCTAAAATAAAAATCTAAAAATATTTCTTAAAAATTATAGTATTTTGGTGGATTCTCATTGTTTTTAGGAAATCGTCTAAAAGCCTTAACAAGTCTTACAAGAATCTTTATACTCTGGACCCTGCTTATCACCTTAGTGCAATACAATGACTTAAGCACTGGGATAGGTACTAAAAGATACAGAGGAAAACAAAGATAGCCCTCATGAAACTTGTCCAGTGAATATGTATTGAATGTTTACACCATGCTCTGGGAATACAACAGTGAGCAAAAAGGTAAGACTACACTTCCATGAATGCTACACTTTAGTGTACTATGTCCTAAACAAAAAACAAATATGTACTTATGTCAGATGGTAATAAATTCTCAGAAGAAAAATGAAACAGGCTAATTGCTGAACTTTCCAACTAGTGTATCAAAAATTGTTAACAGATATCACATGATGTATTGACCACCTCAACCATCAGAAGTGGCCAAGTAGGGTGGCCTCAAGTTGCCAGAGTTCATAGACAAGAAGCTTGTTTAGGGCTCTTTGTAGGATGGCCTGAACAAGTGGAGTCTGAGTGTGTGTCCCATTCTTCCTGAAGGTGACATAAAGAAGTTTCTACATCTGAACATCTACTTCAGCATTCAGCTACAGACTCAGTGGTCTGCAAGGGCTAACGGAATAGTTTGAAGATTTTTATTTTAGGGGCCAAGAAACATTGCATGTAGTTCAAAATGTAGCCCATTGCTGATGCAGGAGCAAGGAACCTAGGCAGGAAATTGTAGTGAGCATACCTTCAGTTAATGACCCAAAGCTCTAGCAAAATAAATATACAATAATTCTGTGCCACGTGGTGATTTGCTATTTTTGTGGTAGCCATGTCAGCTGCAGATTGAATGCTCTAATAATTCTTGAGTATTTTTCAAATTTAAGCTTTATAGTTATTTTCAATTTTCTGATAAAAATTTTTAATGGATTTGAAATCCATTTATATCCACAAAAATGCAAAATCACAACTGATATGAAAGAAAAATAAAGAGTTGATATATTTTAAATACTATTTTAATTGACAAATATTTTGTCATAAAAATAAAGGTATAAAATCTTTTA